AATCTCCAGACTGCCATCTACCCATATGTCAAGTTTCATAAAATATTTCTATTACTTTTTCCGTTAATACTGGATCCAGTTTATGTGTAAAATTTGCCATATTTTCAGTCTATTTGTTGCCATAGCAACCAGAAATTCAACATAGGAAGAAATGAAAAAGACGTACATAATCTCCAGACTGCCATCTATCCATATATCAAGTTTCATAAAAATATTTTCAATACTTTTCAAGTTATCGCGGGATCCAGTTTTGTGGACGAACTGACAGACAGACGGACTGAACGATCTTTAAGGATCGGAAATATAACATCCCTGATTGAATGTACGGGGCGTCTTTTTACAGCCTCCACACGGCACAAACAACGCTGATGTGGCGATAAAATAGAGTGAAATAAGAATCCCTAAAGAAAGCTCAACACGGCAAAATTGAAAAGATGCAGGCTCGGTTTGATTGAGCCTGTTCATGGACTTTTTAAAAAGACAGATTTCAGACAAGCTTTTTTATGAAACAAAACCCTTGGTCTTGCACTAGACATTTTATGATTACCAAGCATATCGGGTGAACGCATTTTGGAATTCCGTTATTTCATATCAAGTGCATAAAACAGACAATTGTCAATGCATAATTCTCAAGTGACTTTCTTTGGTCCACCAAAACTTTGTAAAGGTCATGTAGCGACTTTCAAGCTTTACTGGTTGAGGAAGACCCTAGGTGCCTCTCCGCAGTCAGTGCATTATTTCAAGCACCCCAGTTTAGCTATTTCATAAACTAGCACCCTCATATAGGGAGGTAGATGCTTTTTCGCATAAAACGATAAATTATCTAAATTATCGTTCTTTCAAGAATTTTAAAGAACAAGTGTTTAAAAATGGTTTGAATGCTGTTAATTTTGATATGATTGAAACTATTGCAGAGCCAAATAACTTGATGTTCTAAACAATATGATTGTAGCATCATTTAACAAACATGCACTTTTAAAAATACATGTAAAGCGTATTAAAAGGACTAAACAACCAGATTTGTACACTGACGAAATTAAAGAGGACCTCAAATAAAAGGGATCACTAAAAAGTTGTAAAGACTAGATTAATTTTAAGCTGTGGAGAAATAAATGCCAGGCTTCTATTAATTAGACGAAGTCCTATATAACAAGGCAGTTAAAGATTCAAGAGATTGTAAATATTTATGGCAAAATTTAAAAGACCTATCATCTGAGTATAAGCAACCGTCCTTACCATCACTTTAAACATTAATGATGTTCTATTTGAAGGAAACGTGAATGTTACAAATGCCTTGAATAACAATTTTACTGAAATTTCAAAACTATTTAAGAATTCTAATTTTAATATTAACACTTTTTCGCATTTAAATTTTTTTATCATAAACTTAAACATAAGCAATTTGACATTGATTTCATAACCACATTTAAAGTAAACAGGTGTATTGACAACCTTGATAAAACTAAATCTTCTGGCATTGACATAATTGGTTCTAATACGTTAAAAGTATGTAAAGACTCTACAACGAGAGCAGTATTCAATTATTAATAAAAGAATTTCACTAAGAATATTCCCAGATAAACTGAAACCAGCACGTGTTATAGCTTTACACAAAGGGGAGATAAGTCAAATCCCTATAATTATAGGCCAATATCTATTCTCCCATCAATTTCAAGAATATTTGAAAGGCATATTACAAAATCAGCTTAATAATTATCTGGGGCGTCCGTGGCTGAGTGGTTAAGGTTGTTGACTTCAAACTACTTGCTTTTCACCGCTGTGGGTTGGAATCTGGTCAGGGACTTTAGATTCTTTCATGTGAGGTAGCTATCCAGCTAGCATACAGAGCATAGGTGGTACTACTCGGGTGTCTGTTTGTTCCTGAAATAATGCACAGAAGGGCACCTGAGGTGTTCCTCCACCATTAAAGCTGGAACGTCGCGAAATGACCGTTTGTGCCTGAAATAATGCACAGAAGGGCACCTGAGGTGTTCCTCCACCAGTAAAGCTGGAACGTCGCGATATGACCTATACTGTGTCGATGTGACGTAAAACCCAAAACAAAAAAACAAAAATAATCATAATTATCTTCGTTATACCAATAACATAAATGAACAGCAGTCAGGTTTCCGGAGACAGCATTCATGTCAAACGGCTTTGATCCGCCTTATAGATGCTTGGCTTAGAATATTGATGATGGAAATATAATAGGTGCTTTATTTTAAGTTTTTAAAAAGGGCTTTTGATTTAAGTTGACCATAATATACTGATTCATAGATTTAAAGGCTTTTTTTTTCTTAAAAACTCATTAAAACATTCTTTTCCAGTCATAGTCTAACAGAGAGCAAAATTGTAAAAGTCAACAATAATAAATCTGAAAGCCACCTTGCCGGTTATAAATCAGCTGCACCACAATCCTATACTGTTTCTTTTATATCAAGACGATTTCTCAAGCATTACGCATATGCTGACCAAAGTTTGGGGTAATATCCAGTCTGAGTTGCAGTTAGACGTATTTAAAATGGTGCACTCCGTCAATATATTGCCATCAATCCAGAAAAGACAAATGCATGATAATTGGATCAAAATTTAAAATACAATTTACATAGGCAATTTTTCTTGTTGCATAATGAGAATTCTGAAGTACAATATAAAAATAATGTTCATTGTTCCAAAAGCTATTATAGATTGATAAATTGATAAAAACACTTTGGCAAAAATTTTGTTCTTATGCTTGGGCTGCCTGCAAAAGAAGGTTCAAATATTTCTTACCACCTGAAACGAAACAATTTTTTATAACGCTACAAGCCCCTACTTTGATTATGGTTGTTTTTTTTGGTCCCAAAGTAACAAATCAGACCTAAATAAGAATTTTAATAACAAAATTTACTGAAAGAACCGCCCCGAATTATTTAGAAAAACCCGTAAAAAACAAATTCTCTTTGGAATTGTTTCAATATTGAAATAGGTTTCTTTTCCATCTAATGCAAATAATTTTTTTTCTTGGAATTTGAATGTGTTAATGTAATAAAACGATGAATGAAATTTAAACACCAGATATATTTCTGATCTAATACCGTTATCTCAGAATAAAAAGTTACTTACTAAGATCAACATAGAAAAAAAAGACATTATGCATAAACGACCTAAACAAATTATTTGAAACATACTTTTATTATTCTAGTATGGAGTAATGGAACACTGTTCCTTTATAAATAAATTAAATTCTTTTTCAAGTCTTAATTAAATTGTTTTTAATCACATTTCAAACATGTATTATTATCTATAGATGAATTATAGAAAATTTACCAATACTATAATATATAATATTATATAGCGTGTCTGTCTTCTTAAATTGATTAAGATACACTGAATGTGATAATCTTTATAATTGCCTACAAAAAATGTCCATTGTTATGTTTATGTTTATTGAAGGCCTTGTTTGAAAATAAGATTTTGCATTATACATTGTATGTGTTGTCTCAAATGCTTTGATTTATTGTCTTAATAAACTACCTTCGTTAAATAAAGAGTTTATTATTATTATTATTATTATTATTATTATTATTATTATTATTATTATTATTATTATTATTATGTTAGAAATCAAAGTGCCAATTATTAACGTTTATGATCAAAGCTTTGTTTTGGTCAAGATATTATTATGTGACCTTTTTATTAGTAAGTTTACTTTCAACGAATTGCAAATGGTGGAGTGTGCTGTACCTCGGATAAGTTTTTTACGTATTAATAATAATAGTCAGTTAACATGAAAATATCGTTAAATTGTTCGCCCTGTATTGCCATTTGCCGTTACATTTAAACTAAAACGGAGTGTTGGACGAAAAGACGCTAGACTAGGTACCGTCTTTATTCAAATATCTAATTTTTTTGTTAAAAATGTGCTGTAAATGGTTTAAATAAGAAAAATAAGTACATACACCTAAATATAAAACTGAAGGATTCATTTCATGTATAAATCACTTTAATGAAAGTCATTATATATACATTTTATTTTATATATACATTACTCATTTCTTCTACTTGAACAAATAATTACTATCTTATTGTAGTACTTGTTTCATCCTGACTGATCGATATAAGACAAATTCATATCAATTTTCAAGTAGTTTTGGCCACTTCAAAAATGGAAATAATACATTCCACATCCTAGTTTGAAATTTCAACAATTATCGGACGTACGATGTACCAAAGAGATAACTTTCATTGATATATATCCGCTAGTATTTCAAAATTTTAGATATTGACGACGGGCTTTACGAAGTTCTGGATAATAAGTTTTTTCGAAAAGAAGATTAACTGTATTGTTTTTCTGAGAAATTTCAACTGAAACATGAGTCAAGGTAACATTTTTACTTATGTTTTTTAACAAAATAGCTATTTTTATTATCTGGTTCTTGTTTCTTTGCCTTCAATATTTGTAATCGATATACAGCATTATAACACATTCGACCCAAAATTACAATTCCATAAAAGTTGCAAAAAGGGAAAAGATGTCTGCTGTAATCTAGAGATTTTGTGATAGCGCATATATCGGGACAAATTAAACATGTTTTATATTTCAAGTGTATTAGTCATTATTTACAGGTTTTTTAAATAATAGGAATCACAATAAGATCATCAGTTAACGATCAAAGCAAGCATTATTGTAATGTATAATAGCCATTTGTATTGTAAGCAACCACTGCGCGGAAGCGAAAACCTTTTTGCTTATTTGCGTCAAAAGTCATTGTAACAAGTCCGAAACCTCTAGACAGATTTGATTTTTGTCGACATTTTTACAAGGTTTATATTAATCATTGGTGATGTTTCCCCAGACGTTTTGATCGTTTATTTATACAGAATATGGGGACAGGGTGAAGAGTTGGGCTCCGATTCAACACACAGCCTTCAAACTGCGCTATTCGTTTCGTCCGACTGTTCCCACCATCTACGAGTGTTCCCCCCCCCGAAAGAAATCCGTAACATCTTTGGGCAGGAGTCCACATTTGAAAGCTCTTACCAGGAGTCAGGGAAGGGAAATGATAAATCACCAAGCGCAGTTACCTTTGCCAAAGATGATAATTCTAAAGATAACGTTCAAAAGATGAAGAACAGGAAACTTGGCGAACTATTTGCTAGCACTTGAAATGCTGTTTAATAGTGGAAGAGAAGAAAATAAAAGAATGAAAGCTGTCTTTGGGGTGTTTTCGGTGTGGCTGTCGGAAGTCTGATATTCGTATTGTTATACTGTAATTTTGAATACAGTGGTATTGTTGCAGGAACCGTCGCATCTGTCAGTACTATTTTCATTTGTATTGGGCTAGCTTTCTTTCCGACCTGTAGATGTATCATGGCTCTAGTTTTTCCAAACTTTACAACTGGAAAAGGACGAACACTACTTCTTTCGGTTATTTTTTGCTGGTATGTTAACTGGGCCGATTCTAAACATTACACACAATGGTAAAGAAATCGGAAACAGCATGGCATGTGTGATTGACCTAATTGCCAATCAATCAAGAATATTATTACAGCAGTCAAAAGAGCCTATAAGAGATGTTGCCAAATATATAGAGCAACAAAGACAGTCACTAGAAAACATCCAGAACAGCATGTTTGTTGACTTTAAGGAATTGAGAGACGCCATTGATGCACTGGAGAATGACTTTAATGTCGTGGATACAAGTATGAACAAAATCTATGAGGTAATTTGTTTTCCCTAGTGTTTCTTTCCTAGTGCAGAAAATTGAATCAATACATATTCCACATGTGGAATTGATTACAGAAAGTTGCCAAACATGTTATGGTGAAAATTGAGAATTATACATGTACCTTAATTAATATCATAATATCTTTTAAACCATATTTATGAAAACAAATTATTTTTAGAAAAAAATGTTTTGTAAGATGTGTCTGTCATCCTGCATTAATAGTACTGTAAACCTAACCAGAATAAAAATATGGTATATAGAATGGTAATTTAATGTATTTTAGTATAGTGTGTAAAAAAGAGAATGATTGGTTATTATGATTTTCCTCGGGTTATCTCTCAATATTTTATATTAGTACATGTATCTATATTATGTTCATAATGATACTACATTCCGATATGGAAGGAAAGCAAGTATATAATGTTAACGGTGAGAAATTTTATTCTATATACTTTAAACACACATGCATTTTTTTTAACTTTCAGGAATGCACCAGCCCACTAAAGACAGTTAATCAAGAATGTATAAAACTGTGTAACGAACTTCCGACACTTCCTATAAATCTAAGGTATAAACATTTGACTTATGTTAAACTAGTAAAAATGTACAAACTTGACAATTTATCAATATAAATAATATCTTTCACAAAATTCCCTTCGCATCCGATCAAAATTATCATGACTTCTAAATACGATGCATTCCTTCTGTTATCGTTTTATTATTTTTCTTTTCTTTACTTTTGTTTTGTAGGAAATATACGTCAATTATAATAATAAGGCCTATTACAGTAATGCATTTTTTATTACTCAAAAGCTTTTTATTTTTGATATACTGCGCTTATTTTTAAAAGGTTACTCACTGTCAATAACCTGAACCATTCGGAAAAAAAGTAAAAATAGTTAAGTCACAGCGAGTTTTTTTGGAAGAAAAATACTATTTTGTTTATGTTTATTCTACTTTCATCAAATTCTACCCTTCTTTTTCATGTGTTAAGCATTTAACTATTGTTTGCCCTTATACAGACAGGGAAATAGTGCTCGTTATTTAGGCATAATAAACCTTAAAATATGAGTGTTATTTATCATCATCATTATCATCGTCATCCTTTCTTCATCTTAATGATATCATATAATATTATCATCATTACCAACATCATTAATTTTTATCATTATCATCAACAATAACATCATCACCATTTTATATATTGTTTTCTAATGTATGCGTGCTACAGGGATAACATTTCTTTTGCTTACTTCAGAGCGGAATGCCTTACTCAGTGCAGCAGTTTGAACACACTAACTGATATATGCTCTCCATTAAAGATAAGTGACAACTTTGCTGGTGTTACAAAAGATATGAAGTAAGCATAAAATCAGTTTATAATATATCATGGTAATGAAATCTGGTTATTTTATGAACATTGTAATATTTGGATACAGATAATCATTATTTTTACTAATAATTGTCCATGTAAATGAATATTTAATAAATTATAATGTATTCAGTTAATTTTGAGCATTTTCAAGCAAAAAAAAAAAAAGAAAGGTTTAGTTAATGTAATACACGCATTTCTTTCCAAGTGTGACAAGAGTACGTGTATGAATAAAAGAAATTCGTATGAAAAAATTAACAGCGCGTCATTCGCTGTCCTATAAGTATTGTAGCATATAACATGTTAGCTAGTAGTTAACCATTTATAGAGATGCTACGAAACACGTCAAACGTTTGGTTTTT